AATCTAATTAATAATTTAATATACCTATATTGATATCTAGGTACTTCCAACTTACAACAACCAGCTATCGACCAAAACATATGGTTTATTTATTCATGTTTCTATTATAAACTTTACGGACAAAACAACAGATTGGTTAACGACATCACTGCGGCTGACATGCCCATTAGACTGCGACTAAAAAGGAGTAGGATGAGAGACCTCCTTTTGTGATTCAAAGGACTTAATCAAGACCGAGTATAGTTGCTCCTGGGTACTATCGTTCCCCATACCTGAAATGCAATTTACTTTTCATTGATTCCCTTAACATTTGTTTAGTGTCACTTTCTTCAGTGACAGGTGTGAATGAAATAACTAAGGAAAAATTTTTTTAGGGATCCAAATAAGAAATTAGCTTATATTAGAAAGTGAATCTTATTTCCGAATATCCGATAGTATTTACTTCTATAAAAGCTATAGCTTGCAGCGTATCCTTATTTATATAAAAGTAAATATTAATTCTCACTATTTTCTCATCCGCCCATTTTAAGTTCAACATAAACTCGTAATTCTCTCTTTCTGTTCCAAAGACTATGTATATATACATTTCAAAACATTAGACTACAATACTTAATCGGACAATTGCCCAATTGAATCTGTCATATTTCCTTTAGTGCGCAGTGCAAAAGAGCTTGCCGCATGACGCGCTTATGGTAATTTATTTTCAGTATAAAGGAAAATGTTGGCGATCTCAGAAAGTGGTGTTGGAGATAAGATCTTCTTCCTAGGTTGCGGGTTTTCCGGAAGACGTGAGTTGAAAGCTTCAAGGGTCTATCCAGTCTAGTCTCCCGATATACTAAGATAACTTGCATCGATTCAGAAGAGAAGAGATGGTTTTGCTGAGGTATTTTATATGATAGGATTGTATCAAACCATAATTAAGTTAGATAGATAGCGTAAAGAAAGACGGCATGGTCATTAATGTTTTATTTGAAAACATATCGGTCATCACCTTATCCTTTATCATAAACCTATGGCTTCCTACCCTATAATATACTTTTATAATACCACACTTCTCCGTGTTCAACAAAAACAATACCTAGATACAGAAACCGCTCTACATTACCGACTATAATAAGGCCTCTTTATACTTATGGAGTTGAACTTTAGCGGTCTATTAAACCATCGAATTCCTCTCGTATCCAGTCCTTAAATTCCAAAATTAGTCGTAAAATCCTTAATTTTTCTTACTTTGTCTCCAATATAATGATCCGTAAAAATCTTAATGTTACACATGTTTTTTATTTGGCTCAATCAAGATACCTGTCGTTCCACAAAAAACATCAGAACTATCCGAATCCTCTCATTCCTAATCTTGCTTCCTCTTCGAACGATAATGCTCCGAATCGTCTAAAAAATAATATGGCCTCGTGATCTCCTAATGTAAATAAATAATTACAGTGCTAACAGTTATTTATTTCACAACATACATATGTCATTGTATTCTTGTGTTGACATTTACTAGATAAAATTCTATTTTAATACAGTTTAAACATGAATAAAAAGAAAAAGAATGCATCTTTTTTAATTTGAGATTTTTATTTTGAGTTGACTAATGAATGACTAACAAATCATGAACGATCAAGATTTTAAGGTATTAAACTCAGAACGTGATATGTCCGGAACGCGATACAATATCGCTATCCTTGGCAATTGGTTTTACTTTCTATTCCCCTCTCAGTCACACAAACTACGATAATTGTTAGCAATATGAAACTGCATATCACCGGCACAGGTCTGTGTGCATTAGCCTCAACTACAAAGAAAACATAGTTACAATGCAAATCATAAATAACCTATGCAGCTGTGACAACACGATCTTTAAAGAAATATCTTAACAGAAATACCTCTAAAAAAAATTTGATGTGTTCACACGACTTTCCTACCTATTTCAGAAAAGTTTATATACCTTTATATATGTCCATTAAGAAACAAAAAAAAGGAATTAGATTTATTTTATAGAAAAATGATCAAACGAAAGATTTGAGTACGATTTTCTTGATAAACTAAAGCAACGAACAGGCTTCTGAAAGATCAGTGTAAAAAATTCAATACACTCTAATATTTCTTATCAAAAAGATTTTCTAAAAATAGAGAAAATAGTGAAATTTGTGTGATGCGGGCACTAGATTTTTTTACTTTCACTTCCTTTTATTTTTTCTCTCTTCCATTTCTGGCACTGGAATTTGAACTCATAATCTTACATGAGAAATTGAATAGCTGTAAATAGTTTTCTGAAATGAACGATTTTTATAAATTTTTGTAGGGATTTAATTTTATATAATTATATATATAAATATAAAATAATTAAATTATATAAAATTATAATATTACATGATTATAACATAATAATTGTATAATATTTGTATTTCATCTTTATTTTTATAAGGGAAGAATCTTATACAAATGGAGTCTCTAACAAATTAACGAACATTATTTTCCTTATGGAAATACAATTCATTCCTATTTATACTAAATTACACATATCATAACACTCTTAAAGATAAATTAAAAATCATATTCGGTAAAAATCAGACAATTAAAATAGTTCAAATATCAAATTAATATAAAATCTAAAATTGTCGACAATATAAATAGAATAACAATAAAAGATTTTTTGTTTAGTATCACTATTAAATTATGTTTTAAAACTAAATTAAAATATTAATCCTATACCTACGAGAACAATCAAGAAAAAATACCTGGACAGATTACATGTGGAATATGGAACTTTTGTCATAACATGAATAGGATAATATTCCTGGATTACCCTACCATTTCTCTATAATTTGATGTATTTGAGATAAAATATTTGTATGATTATATACAATTTTTAATTTTTTGAATATACTTTTCTATACGGCAACTAAAATATAATCAAATAAATAAATTATATCTGATTATAATAATTATAATAATATTATAATTAATAACGATGACATTGTTTATTGCCTAAAAAAAAACAACAATAATTCTAAACTGTAATAAGATTCAACCCTATACCAAGAACATCAATTCGGATACTTGGAAGCATTTAATATTTAAAGGAAAGTATTCAGGACATTCTATTAAGAGCATTTATGATTTTATTATAGGAGCCGTAAACTTATTACAAAAGAGGCTTAAGGTTTAATTTGAATTTCTCGGAATTTACTTTATTTTTTTGTAAGGGGTCCCTTTATTCCTAAAAAAGAAGTACAACCAAGGCACGTATAGCATGGAGGAAAATACTTTCCAACAAACGGTTACATAATTATTTGATTTATTTCTTCTTTAAAGTCATACCCTTCATAATATCATATCGATAATTTTTAAGCATGGTATGGAGTTTTATATATATATATATATATATATATATATATATATATATATATGTATTTTAAACACATGGTAAAAATACATGTTTTATGATCCCTTGAGTCAAAATAACTATGTTCACTAAGTGGTCAGTGCATGTGAGTATCTTTGTATTTGTGAACAGTGTAACTCAAATACAGTCGTACGACGCAGAAATTCTAGATTTAGTGCTGGAATGTGTCTGAAATGTTAGAGAGCTACTTTTCCGCCAAATAATTAATAATATATAATTAATAGCAAACATATAATCATGTAACATTCAGTTGTAAGATGTAATGGAGGGTGACAACTTAATTTTAATTGTGTGATTATATATATATATATATATATATATATATATATATATATATATATATATATATATATATGTATTCATTATTATCATACATTATGACTGAATAGAGAATAAATGTTTTCATAGAAACTAAATCGAGTTTCTATAAAAAACAGGGGTGCCCATCCACTAAGGTCGATGGTGCATGAAATTCCCTCCCTCCCCCTTCCAATAAATTTATTTCTCTCCCCTTCATAAAAACAGAGCAACCGAAAGTATAATTTAAAAGCTTATAGATGTTATACAATAACACTTGCTGCGGACTTTTTCATATTTCTTCCTTATCCTCTGGTTTGAAACTTCTGATTTCGATAATTCATAACCCCGTCGGAAAGTGCTCTCCTCAAAAATTCCAAATCCTGACGAAATATACCAAACTCAAATCTTTTTATGGCGCAACTTGAGCGATAAAACCCGTTCTGGATAACTTAGATAGAAAAAAATAGAAATCTTTAAAGTTTATTTTCAACTTGATAAACCAGAAAATATCGTAAAATTTTTATTGGTAGTAGGCAAGGTTGTATTAGTAATAAGTTTGAATTTGTTGTAGGTAAAAGACCAAGAGGGAGAACAAAAACAAGATGGATAGAAAGAACTATGGATATAGAAAATCAGAATGCGGCTGCTCAAAATGCTGAGAATGCTTGATCGGGTGCCAAAAGATCTAAAATCTAACAATGAATAAGAAAACGAAAAATTCTGGCGGCTATATACTACTGAAGATACGGGAAAGCATCATGAAATGTCGATATAAGGCTTAAAGATAAAAAAAAATCCTCTACCACTACAACCCATAAAGTGTCTTTCGTTCAGTACTATGTAAGGAAATACTATTTCAAGGCTGATGGTTGTGCAGAGATGTTATCAGGTCGCGATCACGCTCAACCTAATTATTTAATTAAGGACACTCGTTTTATAGAGGCTCAGTGTGCCCCAGTAGGGCCTTTCGAACCTTCGGGTCGATCCACGGCTTATGATTAATTACTTGTCATTAACCGGATTCGAACCAAAAAAAGACAAACAAAATTAAATCTTCTTATTCTTGTGTAATTATGATCCTATCATATATTTCTTCTTCTTCCTCCTCGTGTACCTTTCAGCGTGGAGGAGCCTCCAGCCACTTCCACCATACATACCTGTCTCTCTGACCTAGGGTTTTCCCTCTTTCCTCCCCTATTCGCTGGGATATGTTCCAGATAAGGATCATATAATATATTTATCATATATCACTTTATTTAATCACCTACATAATGAAGTTAAGTTGACTCACCAAGAGCGGGAGGTGTGGTATGGTGACCATCTCGTCCCCCGTCAACGGGTGGCTCTTCTCCTTCAAGAAGTACCAAGTGTTGAGGTTGCTGTAGGTTATCGTGTCGTCTGCAATGTCGTCCACTAAGTTCACCTTCTCCTTCCATTCTCTTTCCCAAACACACCAACAACATTAGCATACGTTTTATTATTTAATCCTGCATATATGTCATTATGAAAGATTAAAGATGCAATAATACAAGGTGAATTTCCCAGTAATAGACACTGATAATAATAATAATCAACTCATTAACGAATAATAAACTTCATACACCTTGTTGATAGTGTAAACATGAATGGATTTGTAGCTAAAACACTTAGGAGGATAACGACTGAACCTCAAGTCTAACATGCCACAATAGCCGCTTGGCAGCTTATTTTTTAATGGAGTAAGGCTGAGCCTTTCTTTTATTGAGGCCTCCTTATCACTTTTATTCAGAAGATAAATTGGAATATTAGAGTAATTTTGATTCTTAGTTTAAAAATGGGCAAAATTTATTTTTTCTTTTAATTATATAAAAAAATCATTTGATTACAAAACCTGCGTGTCTATTACTATAACATACGCTTTCTTAATTTCCCAACTTTTTCATAAATGGTTAACTTAATTATTTTACTGTATAAAAAATAATTCTATAAAAGACTAAATTTTAATCTATTTGAAAATATCCACAATCATATCTAAAGATAACGTTCATGATAATGTTTGAAATTTTGCTTAAAGTGTCTATTGCTAGTATATTTACCTTAGTTAACTTTATCTTGACATACAAAACTTAAAAGGAGATGTTGAATATACAAAATACAAATTTAAAGTATTGATAAAGTGTTAGACAGTTGATTTTTAGGTGAAAAAAAATAAAACCATTGTTTTACAAATATAATTGATTGACATGGAAAAATAGTATCAAAGATTGATTAATTAATTGAAAACTTTGTAGGGTCCATTCGGGAAGATAAATAAATATTTTTAAAATAACATATTATTAATTTTATGAACCGTTGGATAAAAATTTTAAATAATAAACTTTAACATAATATTTAACAGCATCGTGATGTGGTTACGGTACTCATTGATCGTACATATTGATATAATGTTGAGCAACAGTAATATTTTTAAACGTCCTATTTTGGCTTATTCACAGGTCAAACAGATAATTTGATATAATAAGGACACAAAATATCGACCTAAAGAAAATATTAAATTGACAGAACATTTGCATCATTAGAAGGAAATAAATTGTTTTGGCATACTTGAAACAAAAACTAAGAATAAAACATCAAATAGGTAGAAAAAAGTTGTTTATTTTCTTATAGCTTTATATTCCATCTGTAGGCAGCTTATTGTATGTATTCAAAAGTGGTCTCGGCAAAATATACCATTTTAAGTTTTTAATTTAAAGATGAAAAATATCATTAATTAAAAAATATTTATTTTATTTAATATTAGGAGACTAAAACGGCGTTGGAGGAGTGATCTCGTTTCTCAAGCAATCTAAGTAAAAGCTGCTGAGTACTATCCTTCCCCATGTCTTACATAAAGTTGACAGGTGCAAATAAATATTCAAAACAAAAAAACATTAAATTTCAACACTTAACAATAATAATTATAACGTCATTTTTAATCTGATCTCAATTAAATCAGAGTTATTATAGAAACTAATAAAACAATTATTTTTTTAACAATTAAAATGTCAAAATTAGGTTTTATTTCCAATGAAAAATAATTCTCATATTCAATCCCTGATTTCAACTACCGTTGCAAACTCTCTACACATAAAGGATTTACATATCCTGAAACAATAGACATTTTCTGAAACAATGGTTTGAATAACCGATACAGGGCTGCAATAGCTATGGTTGTTGTATGTTGGTACATGCTACAGGACTTCTATGAACCAATTTAGAGATTCAATACTTGTAACAATTCACCCGTGTAAAAACAGGTACAAAATGAAAACAAAAAAAAAACTCAGCCAAATCGTTTCTCAGAAATAAATTTAACACTGAAAACACAATGAATAAACAATATGAATCGAAGCGATTATGATAGTAAGATTATGAAGACAATTCTAAACAATAATTTCTTGTGGAGCAGTTAGGTAATAATATAACACAAGTAACAATTATTTTTTGTTATTAGTAAATTATTATTATAGTTTATTTAATCATTATAACTACCTTCAAATTATTCAAAAAGACAAATTTTGATATCTTGGATTTACATCTCACAGAAGAATGACATGGAACCCACATATTAACAAAAAAGAAAAAATGTTAAACATCAAACTGCAACTATTATATTCGCTTTTCTCAAGAGGTTAAAAATTAAATCTAAAACAGAAACTGTGAGCTTTCGGGCTCTACCCAATCATCGAATTATTGTTGTATCCAATAGTCACAACCCAAAATCCTTTGTAAAATCCTAAATGCGCCAAATCTTTCAAATAAAATTATTCATAAAGACCTTAATGTTCCATATGTCGCTGATTTAGCCCTAGCAAGATATCTATTTTTTCATGGAACTCCAGTCCCATCCGAATCCATTTGTTCCTAGTGTTGCTATTGCCTTGATTTCTGATAATCCTCCTAGGTGTCTCAAAAGGAGATGGCCTCTTGATCTTCTTACTTAGAATTATTTAGGCAGTGCTACCATGGGGGCGGGGTGGCCGAATAGGCTAAAGCGTGTGTAACAGCACCGCTAGTTGCCTGGCAACCGGATAACAGAGATTTGAGATGATATAAAAAGTACGAGTTCGCGTCCCGGTGCCGGAGGAGATTTTAAATTCCCCGCCCTCACCCCCCGGCCCGGGAAAATCCCGTATAGCCTAAAAGGCGAGGTAGGGAAGAACAAAAAAAAAAAAAAAAAAAAAAAAGGCAGTGCTACCACTGGGTAGTAACATGACAAATCTTATCATCTCATCATTTCTAACTTATGCATAGTTACTGGTTGTATTTATTCAATAAAGTTGTAAAGTTCAATAAATAAATAAAAAACAGAAACTGAACATACACATTTATCTACTTAAATCCGGATCTGCGCTTCACAGGTATACGGGATAGCCAAAATATTACGGGTACGTCACAAATATTACTTTACATAAAGATCTACACGTTCCGGCAGTTAACGAGATACGTACACAATACAAAAGATTCACGACAACTTACACGGACATTCTAACACCCTCATAAACGGTATGGCGACAATTAACATACCTGAAAACAACCTTAGGAGGCACAAAAGAAGCTGGATAAGAGATCTTCTCGCTTAAAAATCAATACCAAAATGAAGACATGTTGGATGCCGCTGGACAAACTCACCGATTGTCAATATTTTTGACAAAAATTAACAGTATTTTTAAACATATAAAATAAAAAAACTATCATGTTTATCTAGGAGTTACCTCTGATATACATTTAAGATTTTCGGTCCACTTCTGTAAATAAATTAATACCGCACGACAGAAATCATACAGAATAAGTCATCTTTTATCATCCACACACTTTTCTATTCGTCTAAAAGTTTTAATCTACAAAACTATAATACGTCCTACTTTATTTCATAACACATCAATGTTTTCAATGATAACCACATCAACATAAAATCGGCTAAAAATGTAAAACATATAAAATGTAATATTAAGAAAAATTGCTAAAGGGACAACTACCCGAAGAAAAAAAGCGTCTAAGCTCCATCAAGAATTTAAAATATCTAAAGTGAAGAACTTCATTAGTGAAAGACATGCCAATTATTTTAAATTTGTTATATACTTAACAAATCCCTTATTTAATCAAATCGAATCTTCTGAACCTCCTCAACGCTGGAAAAATTTGTTTGAAAATTAAACTAAGATTTTTAGTTTATGAGGTCAATACAAAAAAAAAGTGACCTCCATCTCCTATCATTACCCGGAAATCGAGTATATTACCAGAAATAATAATGAGACAAATTCCTTAAAATTCAAACGTGCAGGAAAAGGATAATTCCAAGACATTGAACCTTGTCAGAAAAATAAATAAGGAGCTATGCAAAAAATTAAACTAATTGTACACTTGATGTTTATAGTTTCTCTAGTTATGAATAAATTAATACACACACTTTAATATATAGAAGCTTCCTAGTACGTACATAACAAACTGATTTATATGTACTATGTATTCCCTTATCCATAATAAACCTCACGAACATAACAACAGGTTGATAATCGATATGGGTGCGGCTGACATACCCGTTAGACGGCGCCTGAAAAGGAGCTGAATGGGAGACCTCCTTTTGTGAATCAAAGGACTTAATCATGACCGGGAAGATGTGCACTGTCCTTCTCTACGTCTGAAATACCACAGTTCCCTGTATAGTGAGCTCATTTGGAGCTCATCCAGTATTTGATGAGTCTAACTAAAGATCACCCAATGATGAGATTTATTATTTATTATCCCATGAAGAGGGGATCTTTCAATTCCGAACGGGTAAGTAGGAAATAAATATGCTATAAAATATTTTTTTTCTGTATAATTTGACCTATTTACCAATTAGTAAAGAAAAACTATTAATTAATTCTTTTATTACTTATGTATTTTTTGTTAGGTGAGATCACATTCACATTATATGTACAAAAAAAAAAAACAGAAGCAAAAAAAAAATAATAATAATCAAAAAGTATTTACAATAAATAAAATAATATAACTTAAAGATAATGAAATTTAAAAAAAAGCAAATAACACATACATACCTAGGCATATAGATACACGATTTAATTCGTTTAAGAAAGAAGATGGATAGATGAAAATTAAACGAAGATGAACAATTATCTTTCATTTTAGTTAAGTATCAGCTAAGAACACACGGACCAATGATTTTAAACAGTTATTTAGTCAAAGGGAATTTTTTTTTTTTCATTTTAAAAGTTTTATAATGGAATACAACTTCATCATAACATACCCAAGAAAGTTTCCTTCTGTAAGATTTACTTCATTTATTAATGCACTATTTTAACTTAATTACAATGAAGGCAAAGCAACTATAAAAACCTGGGAACTACTAGGAACGTGTCTTTGATGAACAAAGTACACTGAACTTCAGTCAAAGGATAAGTACTTTTTTATAATATAC